GTTCCTTCTGCAGGAACATGGTGGCTTCTCGAAATAGGGCATAGCAAATGCTCTTCTACTGGGTGTTAAGTTACTATTTTGCTCTGACTTCTGCTCAAAGAACATAGGTTATTGGGAAAATTAAAAATATAATAACCAACTAACCAAAGAAAGAACTAAATCCAGTCTTCCAAGACTTCCTCCCATTTGTTTATGGAATTCTGTAGAAATAAAAGGACTGAATGCTTCAGAGACATGAGCAACACCATGCGGTACAATGGGGCTGTTCTGTTCTTTTCCCTGGGACTCCTCCTTAACAGATACACAACAAAACAATACATGTGAAGGAAACAAAAATGCAAGCAAATTTGAGCTCTAATTGTTTGTGAGATTACACAGTGTGCCCAAGTGGTTCACAGACTGAGTTATGAATCAGGAAGTTCTCAGGATGAATCCTGTATCTACCATGAACTAACTCTCTGTCTCTGTCTCTCCAGTTAGATAATGCATGTTCATACTCTGCAAATGTTAAATTTTTGAAGGGGTGGAAACTGACGAAAGCTCACAGCATGTTTGGTTGCCAGGGGCCAGGGCAAGACCTCACCTGGAGAACTGGGAAACCTGTAGACCCAATGGTTCCAGGTTGGGAGTAGGGAATGGAAAGGGAAAACGCCTGCTTCCCAGGTGGTAGCATAAACCTTCTGAGTCTGTTGCCCTCTAATGTTCTGGTCTTCAGCTCCCATCAACTCCAGCCAGCATGTTCAGGGGTGGTCATTAGGGTCAGGAATGATGGAAGTTGTAGGCCACAAGCCCTGGAAAGGAGCAGTTTGGGGAAGGTTGCTCTGGAAATATATATCAATGACAAACAGCATCTGGGGGACACAGACTATTGCAGATTCTTAGAGCCAGTGGCTACGCTTCTGTTCTGCCCTGCTTTTTCAGCAAATAAGGTAATATAGAAATGTTGATCATAAATGAAAGTGCTTGTGCCAGATGATGCAGACCTTGTCTGCATCTGGTTGGTCCTTGCCTCACCTGGCTCCACTCTGCCATACCTGGCTGGGTATCTGCTCCTTGTTGCTTCCTGCCACAGACTTTCCTTCTGTCCCTGCCGCACCTTGATGGGATCTGGCCATGTTTCCCCTTTGCCTCTGTCCATGCCACATCGACACCAACCTCTGCACCACCTCCATCACCCAGAGGTGCTCCAGCCACAGACACCTGCCACCTACAGCCTGCATTTCAGCAACATTAAAAACAATCACATTTGTTCTCCAAAGGTAATGCTGTCTATACTTAGCCTATCTGACTGGGTAAGTGTATTCAGTGACTTCTAAACATTTCTTTTGTCTACAGCCTCTACTTTTAAAAAGCATTTTTATCTGCCTTACGTGCCATTTTGCAAGCTGAAAATAATAAACTGGCATTTGCAGCACACTGAGATATGCCTTGTTGTATGAATAATTCCCCTCAGTCATGACCAGGATGGTCAGTCTTGTCCTTAGCATTGATATTTGGCTGGATTTAAGGGCAGTGTTCTATGAGAAACTGATTTTCTATATGCTTCTTAATTATATTTATATTCCATCCATTGATTAGTTCTTGGCACAGTCAAAAATTTGCACACTAGGGCAGGGGAGGGGTGGATCTGGGGTGGTCCTAAAGTATTGCTTGCCTGGATTTTTATTTTTACGCATGGACTAGAATGGCTTTTTTGTGGTGTTGCCTTTTTTATCCCCTGGGAGCAAATGCAAATAACCATAAGAGGAGCTGTGCTGGATTTGATCAAAGTCCATCTAGCCTAGGATTCTGTTCACACAATGACCAACCAGCTGCCCACGAAAACTCGCAAACAGAACATGAACAGCACTAAGACTGACAAACATTACGACTATGTTCACCCATGCTTAGCTGCTGCTCTGGTTGCCTCTGCTGAACTTGAACCAAGGAGTGGAGCAAGGATACCTGTTGCACTCAAATTACTTTAGCCTGTACAGAACCTAGAAAGTTTTAACTGTAATCAGGGCCTGCAAGCTCAGGTGATGACTGAAACAGACACGGAATCAAAGCGCTACCATGATCAGGAGAACCCTGAGGTTTGCAGAAGTGCAAGACAAAAGATTTAGGGGGCAAAGGACAAATAAGGGTGGGGGGAAAGCCAGCAGAAGGAGAGAATAGAAGGCCCTTCTTCAACAAGGACTGCCTTACAGTACCAATGTGAAGAGTTTAGCTCGTTAGCTTGCTGGGGCACTGGACTCTTTAAGAGTGATAATACCTATCTTTGTTGCTGATTCCAATTGTGGTAACAAAAATGATGTGGAATTCATATCCCACAGTGGAATGAGTGGTTTATTGGAATGCATGCAGAAGATTGCACACCTGAGAACCAAACCATAGCTTAACTTGGTTCCTCTGTTCCATGGATTTAGAAGGCATGTTTTGTGGGTCTGAAAACCCACATGATTGGCAAAATGCTTCGCCAAACATCTCAGGATTGCGCTGAAGAGGGTTAGGCAGAGGGTCAGAATAAGGAATGTGTAATTGAAAGATGCCTGAAAACATGCAACAATTTCAACATGAGCTTCTGAGAGAACCTTTCCCAACACTTCAAATCCAGAAGTGTTGCCACTTGCCTAATCTGCAATGGGAGGGAGTTCTAGAGAGCGAGCACAACACTGAAGGCCCTATGCTAAGCCACCATGGACAAGACCTCTGAAATTTTGGGCAGCACCAGATGGTTCTATCCTGATGTGCACAGCAAGTGAGCAGACTCATATGGGTTCCATACATCCCTTAATATTCTCGTCCTCAGTTTCTCACAGTTTCCTAAGCAAATACAAACACCTTAAATGGAGTCTAGTAATATACAGGCAACCTGTACAATTCCTTTAGCATAGGAGCGGTAGCTTTCTGCTGCATTCTAACTGGGTTTCAATGCAGCCTGCAGAAGTAACAGGCAAAACTTGTAATCAAAGCAGAGAAGAAAGGGGGTGTAGCCCGTTCTCGCGGACGTGGCGTGACCAACAGAGCTCCCTTTTTCATTGGGCACGGAGAAAAACCTATTAGGAACTACAGTACTCGGAGTGTTCTCCGCAGCCACTCAAGGCCGTGCAAACATTTATTAGGACTCCTGTTATGCAAAGGAAGATATAAAACTACATTTCCCAGAGGCCGTCGGCTGCGTGGAACAAAGATGCTCTGGGGCCGGGACGAGGAGCTGCTTCGGACAGAACGGAACTGGAAGGCAAGGAATTGTGCTGCATTGGACTGAGAGGCGTGCGGGGAGACCAGGAGGAGGGCGATTTGGAGAGTCCCAAGAGGTAGGCATGAAGGTGGAGGAAGAGGGGCTGCAAATAAGGAATCAGTTCGCACAGTGTCCTCCTCTGGGTGAGGGAAAGTTATGTCTCCGCCAGGATGTCTGTGCCAGTTTCTACATGTTGCAGAGCTGCGCTGGAGAATCCATGCACCTTGTGTGTAGGTATGGTGGAACATGTTATGTTTGTGTTGAGAATCGTGCATTTTGAAAGGTGGGCGCTAATAATGCTTCTTGTACCTGTGCTGTAATTGATCCTTCGTTCATCTTAACTGTATCATGCCACCCATTTCATTCTGGTCCAAGAAAAGGGCTAATCGCTACTATTAAGGACTAAATAGATGTGCACTGTCTGTTTATATGGTTGCATAGGTGTATAAAGGCTAAAATGCTCGAGTTTGCTACTTGTGCAAGTGCCACTGGCTTATTTAAGTTATGAAACATTGTAAAGCTTGGGTGTTTAAAGCCCAGGCGATTCTTTGCTAGCAGGGAGCACTTGGATCTCAAACCATCTGTGGCTTTAAAGGGAGTCAGTGTGGTGTTGTGTTTAAGAATGTGGGTCTGTTCAAATACTGTCAAAGAATGGTCCAGTATTTTTACAGCGTTAACCTTATTACTTTATAAGGTATAGACCACCTTTCTTCCTCTTGCTAGGATTCTGAGGCAGCATGCAAGCCTCTCACTTTCATTTTAACTTCACAATAGCAACCCTAACCTGTGAGGTAGGTTAGGCTGAAAGTCTGTGGCTTGCCCAAAGTCATGAAATTTTCGCCAGTAAATTTCATGGCGAAGGACAGACTAGAACCCAGATTTCCAATCCACTGCTATGGCACACTGGCTCTTTAATATGGATTCTATTCAATATTTATCCCATACAGGCAAGGAATATTCAAATGCCAACTGGCACATGCTAGCATGTGTTATCCCACTGTGGCTTAAGCTGCAGTAGGTAACTTTGATTATGTAAACTGGTCACTGTGTTTATCTTGGGCTTACTTCCAAAGATGCATGGAATTTCACTAAGTGCTGTCAAGTTGCCTAAGTAACATTTGGTAATATGAGATTAATATTAGTTTGTATTTTAGTTTCTCTAAATGGAATGTAATTCCAAATACTGTGATGGAACTATTTTAAAAGTCCAGACTAAAAGCATTAGTAAATCATGTTTCTTATCTTCAAATTCTTACCAAATATTTTGAAAGTAAATAGTAATGTTATGTCAGCCTTTTAAAATGCAGCTCTCAGACTTGGCTAGTTCTGTGCAGGCTGAGGGTAAGTATTTAGCAATGCAATCGTGTATGTCTGTACTCAGCAGTAAGTCCCACTGAGTCCAGTGAGACTTTTCCAAAGTGGAATAAATAGAAGGCTGTCTGCCCCATTGAATGAATGGGCCTTACTTCTAAGGAGAGAACAACCATGGAAGCAGTGTTACAACAATTTTGGGTTCAGAATATACTTTTATTAAATTTTAAAGCAGCCTTTTGACATTTTAAACCAGTCGTGTGCATCAGGACACGCGTCCCCATAGCAACAATGCGCCTTCCTGAGGCGGCATCAGTCTCTTCCCTTCCTCCTTTCGTGCACGGCTCCTCACTGCGCGTGCTCGGTACCCGAGAGGGCGCGCATGCGCGAGGCGCTCGAGCTGCCTCTTGGGGATGCTCCTTTGAGCAGCCGGCTGGCGCCCGGCAATTCGGAGAGGGAGGGGGAGCGGAGGAGGAGCATGTGCGCCGGCGCAGTGGCTCTCCGGCCGGTGTTGCTCAAGGAGCTGGTTGATCAGCCCGGTCAGCTTTTCCCGGGGGCCGAGGCGGCCTGTCACCCGCTGGTCCTTTGCTTGGGTCGGGCCGGCTGCCAACACGGACTCCGAGTGTCTTGGGCCGGCAAGTATCAGAGGCCGCGCGCGCGCTCGTGTTCTCCGCGGCGGGGGCCTCCCTCTCCCTCCATCCCAGGCACCGGTTTTGGCGTTTCTCCTTGTCGGTACTGCAAACTCCAGGCGCTCCTGGGATCGCTCCAGGACCTGGAAGCCTCGATGTCCCGTCCCGTCCCGTCCCGCCGCACCTCCGTGCTGGCCTTTCCCTTGCCGTAACCTCATATCTCGCCATATAAGCGATCCCCTCCCTTCCCCTCCCCTCCGCCCCGCCCCCCTCGTTGCAACCATAAGCTCTATATTGCCCTATTTCTCTGTTGCTTTGACTAGCGTATACCTCTCTCTCTTCTCTCTTCCTTGCAGGGCCCCCATGCACCCGAAGCCATTTTTTTTATCCGTCTCCCCATGCTGTTGCTTCTCCCTGCTCTAATGGCCTCCCAGCCCCCTTGCAGCCCATCTGTGCAATCCCCCGCTGCTACACCCCGTTATTCAGCTCTGGGCAGGGGCTGGCCCCCTTTTATTCTAGCCTGTTGTTGGGCTCTGGCTCTCTCTTGCATTCTTCCACACCCTGCCCCTTGAAAACCTTATAGGGATCACTGCTTTTTGTTGTTTTTTAATGCAATGAACACCCCTTATTTTCTTCTAAACTGACCCCATTTTCATTTTGGTGTGGCATGGGCATGCTTTATGTGGGAGATATTGCAGGAAAGAAGTGGGTGGGCACCATTGCTTCTAGTTTTATCATGATTTCCAAAAGGCCTGAGCTAGGGCCTGTGTCAGGTTGGAACTCCAGTGGTGGTTATTGGTCCAAGAAGTTCCCCTTTCAAGACTTGCTGCTGCTATAAACTTGCTAGGTGGACTTGTTCAAGCTGTGGTTTTCTCAGCTTGTCATTAATGTATTAGTTACTATTTTATCCTGTTTTTCCTTCAAGGTGGTGATCCTCCCCCTTTTCTCCATTTTACTCTCACAACAGCCTTGTGGGGTAGGTTAGGCTGAAAGGACTAGCCCAAAGTAGCCCAGCAAGCTTTATGACTAAGCAGAAATGAGAATCTAGGTCTTCTAACCCCCAGTCCACGACTCTAACCATTGATCACACTGGCTGTCATAATTTTTAGTGTATTTTAAAATAATTTTAGGTATGAGCCTACCTGACAAGGCAGTTGCTGGGAACACATGGGAAGTTCTTTGAACTTCATAAAGTGGTTTATAAATGCTCAGTATTATTGTTAGAGTGACTTTAGTGATGTAGGTTGTTGTGAACATTATTCTAAGTAGAGCACTTGAGTGCTTGCTAAGAACAACATTAATTTGCCTTTTTTGAAAGAGGATGAATAAATCCTGAGACTAGACTTTCATTTTTGTTTTCAAGTGCAATGATTCAGTGAACTGTGCTTAGATGCCATAGTCTCTGGAGTGGTGTTAGTAGTATTTCATATGCGGCAACAGGCAAACACTTGATTTAAACTGAATGGGTTCTGTCAAGAAGAGTTAATGCCCATAAGGAAGGGGTCTGTGGGACCTCATAATTCATATGGATGCTTTTTACTAAATTCTTGAAATGCTTTTCAGTGTGTCATTCTTATCTGAAGTATGAACAAATTCATGTTTACTCTGAATGGAATTTAGGTTGCAATATAATATGTATATCCAGATTTATACTTTCTGAAATCCATGTGCTTGCTGTAGGGTACACTGGTAGATGTATTGGGGCATTAAGATAATTTTGAACCGGTTTGAAAATGGTCTAATGACCCCAATTTTTCCAAAAAGTATTGGAAATTGTATTCTGAGTGATAAAAACATGTTAGTGATCCTTAGCTCCTTTGTAGAACTCTAATTTTCATGGCAGCTTGGATGGGAACTTTTGGATAACTGGCTGTTGAACTGATTTTAGATGAAAATGGAATATATTTTTCCTTGATGTCATGTGAAAATGGTTTACATGATCAGTCTCTGGATCATCATTTCTTGTCACCGGAGGCAAAAGACCAGTATACAGATACTTAATAATATAAAGCATGATAACCCAGTGCATGGCTATAAGAAACGTGTGTTTGCATTTTTGCCACCTTCTGCACAACAGTTTCTTTTACAATCCTAGTTTTTCTTCCACTTTCTCTCTTCTTTCAAAAATTGCTAAATGGAACAATTTCACCAATAGGGATAATTCCTTTGAATCAAGGTTTGATTTGCGTTTTCCAGGAAGTAATTTCCTTTATCTACTTGAATCACAATGGCAGTAAGATTTCACTGCTAAAGGAATGTCTCTAATCTATCTTGAATAGTTTTATAAACTACTTACCCCTATCTAATATAGTACTTCACAAAGATATTAGCATACATTACAATGTACATTAAAATACATAATACAATTTACAAACATTTTTATGGACATTAAAACTACAAACAGAGTAAAAAAGCCAGCGAATAGAAGGGGTAGCACAATTGCTGAGGAAGGGTCTTAGTGGCATGTTTAAGGTGCCAGTTATTTTTTTGCCTCCTGTATATCAATGAGAAGAAGGTTGCATAAGGTATGCGGCATCACAAAGAGAGCCTACTTTTGGTTGCTCCAAGATGGCATTCTGCAGGTTTTGGTACAACCAGAAAGTCTTCCTTTGAGGACTTGAGTTGTTGCACCGGTTTGCTTCGTAGAAGACAGGTCATTGAGTAACCTGTGTGTTTTTTTTTTTTTTAGTTTGGATATCATGGATTTTTTTTTCAAACCATCCTTTGATGACCTACTTCAGACCATTGTTTCTACAAACTTGTTAGTCCTCCACAAACCATGATTTATCAATTCAAAGAATTCACTAAATTATGGTTCAGCTTTATTAAAAGTTGTAGTTTAATGTCTTAAGACGCAATAGTCAAAACTAAATTTGCTCACAATACTCCCTTATTGCTGTCATGGTATCCTTCCCATTAGTCAGTTTCTATTGTTATTTAGACTGCAAGCTTCTTAGCCTGAGACTTGCCCCCCCCCCCCCAAATCCCCTTTTTCTTATGTTACTGTGCAATCTTCACTATGTAAAATGGCATGAACTATTGTAATGGCTGTAGCCATTTTGAATATGGAGCACTTCATATCCAGTTAAATGTTCACTAATCATAGGCATGCATTTATCCTTCGTGGGTTCAGGCCTGTTCCTCTTGGAGAGCCCTCTGCATACTATGTTCTGATTACTCCCTGCTATAACAGCTCTAGCATTCATAGTAAATAATCCTTCCCAGTTGAATTTGGTCAATATTTCCAAGGGTATGATTCAAGGCTTATGTGAGGCTTATGCGAATGGGGCGGCATACAAGTTTCCCAAATAAATAAATAATAAGTCCAAAGAAGAGGCTCAGAACAGGTGTGCAAAAACAAATGCTCTACGGCCTGTGTATATAACCTTCCCTTCTTTTTGAACAAATTATATAAAATAGAAAATTTGCACTGGTTGATCGTTGAATGAATGAGTGGATTGGAGTAGATCAAGAAATATGGAAGGTGTAGTCGGAGGGCTAGACTGGTTGGGTGCTGTGTATGGGCATTAAAGCCCCAGCTTCAGTTACTAGAAAACACCCCCTTTGCGTTTTTGTGCTGTCTTCAAACTTTGCTTGGTGTTCCCACCCCTACTGAAAACAGGGAAGGTGAATGCTGGGCCAGTGTTCTGATGCCCAATTATTGTAGCTGTTCTAACAGATGAATCATTTGCAGAATCCTTGATATGTTTAGGTATGGGATACAAGAAGCTAGAGTAGAGGTAAATTCAGAGCTCCGTGCAAGATAGAGATTTCATTACTTGTATAATTTTGGGAGAGGAACACCTTGAATTGAATGTGTGAATTATCAAAATGAATGCAAGCCTACTGCTTTTGTAATGTCAATTTTTCTTTCTTCCTTCTGCTAGATTTTACCAATTTCCCATCTCCTCACAATGAGACAGGTCTGGGTTCATTTCTTCCCTTCACCGTGTAGTTGATAGTGCTAGACGTGGAGGCAATGCTGGCGTAGAGATGGCAGATAGTGTCAAGATCTTCCTTAATGATCTCATCAGGGTAAGTGTTACTATTGTTATTATTACTACTATCACCACCAACACCATAAATAGATGACGGACTGTGTTTACAGGCTAAAATTAGATTTTTAATTGTTTTAATCATTACCAGTGGACACTGGCTTTCTAAAGTATCAAGCCAGCTTCTGTATAGCAGGACAGACCAAGTTCTGAGATCTTCCAAGGCTGTTCTTATTAGGATTTTTGTGACAGTAGAGGTGGCAGAGTAAAATTGCTCCCATTGCAAATTCCCCTGGGCTCCCATCACTTTATGCGAGTACATGGAATCATGTTTTACTTCAGGGGGTAAGCAAAGTGATTGCCCTCTAAGTAATTTCCGTCAGGTCACTAGACTCCTGCTACCTCTGCAACCACCAAGAACATTCTAGAGACTCTGGGGTTTCCCACAATATTGCTAGGAAGTGAATCCATTCCCTTATCTTCAGTTTTTTGCTTAGATGTTGGTGATAAAGAAGGGGTTTCCTTGTTAGCACTACCAAGAAAACCCTGTGAGTATGTGCAGACCTCCAGCATCACAGGGACTTGGGGTCAAAAAGTTCATGCATCCCTGGTTTGGTGCCATGGAGATAAGCTATCTTGAGTGCACCTATATTCGTCTTGCATGCTTTGCTTAATTATGTTTTGGTTTGCACATTGAACCAGCAGACTATGGTTTGCACTTGCCTCCAAACCTCAATCAAAACCTCATTTGGACTGATGGTTTGAAAAAACAGAGTAACACAAAATGTGCTGCTTTAGATACTATGGCAAATCAGGAAGTAGCTAAGTGAAATACACATGTTGTGGCTTGTTGAAATCAGGCTTGTTGTTGTGCATGAACCCACCTCTGCAATTGTTTGTGTAGAAGAATGGGCTATAGGATTGCACTAAAGCAGGGCCCATGCCTAGGAGTGCCCAGTGGCATTGCTTTGCTTAGATAGGGCGGGAAAATGGGCCTAATTGTGGTATAAGCTTGCTTGAAGTCTTCACTGTATCAAGCCAAGGGATATTCCAGCCTGTATGAAGCTCGCCAGTTTAAAAAATATCAGGCAGACTGCCCTTTATTTTTGCCACAAGATAATTGTAGCACAAGATCTCCAAAGGGACACTCTCTTTCCAAAAGAGAAGACAAACTGCTTTTTGATGTTTTTATGAATGCTTGGATATTGAATGGTTTTGTTATAGGTCATTTGGCAGCTAAAAGTAGGTGTTACTCATGGATTGATCTTTGACTATAATTGAGAGTGCTGATGGCTACAGAGTAATTGGCTACAGAGTAATTGGCAGTTGCTCAAAGTCGCTAATTTGGGAAAATGTCAGAAGGAAGAAAAAAATCCCAGAACTAATATTGGAGCTGTCCTGAACTCTTGATGTACTCAAGGGGCTGCGTTTTCACACAGAACAGATTGTGGTTTTTTGGATGCCCTACTTGCAGCTTATACCAGAGCTATTTGTGTGTGCTTTGATTCTGCTCTTGTCCATTTTTGAGAGCTGGAATTGGGCACACCCTTCAGCATCCTAACAGCCCCTGGGTTCATGTTCTTACCATCAAGCTCCCAGTTCTCTAATTTTGGCTTGAAAGCCCCAGCAGTCGCTGATCTAGAATTTCCAGTAGCTGCTGTTGCTTACTCTTGGAATGTCATTCTGGCTAATATTGTGTATAGCACTGAATTTCTGAGGCATTCCATAAATATTGTTAAAATATACAAAAGAAGCAAGTAATAAATGTTTGTCTAAGTTACATATTCTATATTTGTTTCAGTTTCAGTGTCTGATAAAATAGAATTTGGAAGTGTTTCTATAATAGCTGTCAGGTGTGTTCTTATGAATAACTATTCCAAAGGCTGGAAACTGCTGTCTGTGACATCTTATCTTATCTGAATTATCTTATAGCCATTTGCAGGCTCTGTTTAAAAATCGCATAGCAATTAAAAACATTCTACACATTATACAAAGCGGGGGAGGTGGTGTAGCAGTTTGTATTCTTCTGCTTGCAACAGTATTGTCAGTATGTTTTAATGTGTATGATAAACTAGTACCCCAAGAGTAAAAGGATATTCTTCTTAATATTCTAGCTTACTTTAGGGAAGGAGATGCTTATACTGGGGGAATATAAATGTGACATGACCCATTTCAGACTTCTGTTGTTGAGAATTCTACCATCTTGCCCCAATTCAGTGAAGTTTGGCTCTGAGCTGATACGGAGATTGGAAAGCATATTTTTTGCCAAAGGAAGCTCAACTATGTGATCTAATGATGAGCAGGATCCCCTGAGTAATCCTTCAGCTCAGATTTGCTTCCCTTCCTAAAAGGGGATTTGGTCAGTAAGCTTAGAGAAAGGTAGGGGTGTTTGCGTGTATATTTGAGCAGGGGAAACAAGCAAATTTCCCTTTTCTTCCCAAACTCATTCAGAATCTCTTAAACTGCCATTACCACAACATTATTTAAATCTGTAACCTTTCCTTATTCCTTCTGCTTTTTTCCTACCCCATATGCTAAATTTTAGCCTGATGCCTCCTTTGTACCTGCAGGGAATTAAAGATTCCATATGGGGAATCTGCACAATATCCAAACTGGATGCTCGGATTCAGCAGAAAAGGGAAGAGCAGCGAAAAAGACGAGCAAGCAGTGTACTTGCCCAGCGAAGAGCACAGAGTGAGGAGAGGAGACAGGAGAAGTAAGTGTAGGAATCCCTTGAGCCACTCCAAATGACCTCCCTCTTCTTTGTTTACCTGCCTGAGAACTGGTCATAACCAAAATGAGCAACCGAAAATCATAAAAGATAGCAAAGCAGTTGGGATATATAAAAATTGGGGCAGTTTATTTAGGGATTTGTTTTTTCTACATATGATGGGCCTACATGAAGTGATTTAAAAATAATACTTTTCTAAGTAAATTATCCATGGGGCTCCCTTGCAAAAGCACCACATCTGCTTAGTTGCATCACTAGGGCCCTCCAGAGTATCCACTAGGAAGAAATAAGAAGAAACTTGCCATGATGACTGTAGAATATCCATCTGGGTCACATTCTTCCTTGAGAGAAAATTGTTTTGTTTTTTTTAGTACATTCAGGTTCTAACTTTGAGGAACTCTAATGTGTTTACTTTATTTCTCTCTAGTGAACCCCGGATAGTAAGCCGGATATTTCAGTGTTGTGCATGGAATGGTGGTGTATTCTGGGTAAGTAGGTATTTACATTAAAAAAAAATCAGATACATTGCTTTGGTGCATATGAGTTGGCTTGTTTGCACTGTTAAATCAGGTCATGCTACACTTTGCAGGCCAAACTTGTCAGTGCCTTAAAGCTTCAAGTTTTACTTGAAGAAGGGTTAGCTGAAAAATTGCTCAGTCCTAGTATACTGGGGCTGTCAATCTATTAATATTCCAGATTCAGTATTTTCAGTTGTTTTGGAGTCTGATTTGGAAGGTGTTCCATTCTAATTCTCACACTATTTTGCTGCCAGTGATCTTTGCCAGCATCCTGCTGATCCACTGACAACATGCCAGTGATCCAGTGACAAGTTTAGGTTTCTGTGTCAGGGACTCCTTGCTTCATTGCATGATCCTGTTTCACCAGTTCCAAATGCAGCTGTGTGGCCAAGTCTTGTCTTGAGTTGAAAGCCAATGAACAGAGTAATATATTAGTGGTATAATGGATGTTTCACAGCCATTAGGATTTGCTTTAGCTAATGAAGAAATGGTATGGAAGTATTAAAAAGGAACTGTCCAGTTATTCATTTTGTTTGCAGCTGGAAGGAATATTCTTGAAATTCTTTTGGTGCTCTGTCTTCATTATAGAGATTATACCAGCTTTATACATTTATATTAATGCTTTGCTTGGTAGTTTCTGGATGAAGAATGTTCAGAGTTCAGCGTCTGTGGCATGTGCATTACAGCCTAGGTTTTTCCTCACGTAATTATGGCAGCATGGCTTTTATTTATGTACAATAAACCATGTTTCTGGCTTTCATGATTATAGAAATAGTACAGAGCTTTACATGTATGGGCAATATAAATTGAAGGATAGTAAAGCTAGAATGTGGTAACACAAGGTTTTGAGAGACCAGGAGGTAGAATTTTAGGACCCTCATGAGAACCTGTCCTTTCTCCTATGTAGCAGCTGCTTTATATTAAAAAGGCACGAGCATCTTTGAAATTCAGATATAGTCACATGTCTGACATTCTGCACTATTTGAATTAGACAACTAATGATAAGAGTGGGATTCCAAAGTAGGTTGGTAGACAGGATAGCGATCTAAATGACAACTGTGATCTAGGAGACAGGGTTAATTGCCTATATTCACAAAAATCTAATTGTTTAAATTTGTGTCTGTAACATTCCAATGTCAGTTGCTTTTTCCTGGTCATGATTTTCCCACGTACATATAGATGCACATGCAAGGGGGCACTTTCGATTATTTTGATAAGGAACAAAGCCATACCATCCTGCATATTGCTGTAGGATGCAAGTATCCTCTCACACATGCATCTGTATGAGCAAAATAATATGCTCCTGAAAGAAACTGTGGACTTTGAATGGTAGGAACATTGCAAATTTACCCTGAAATTTCAGGATTGTGGGTCAATTGGGAAGGGATATGAATATACTAAGCGGTAGTGATTTACTTCTTGCTTCTCCCTTTTAGCTTAGTCTCTTCTTGTTCTACCGGGTGTTCATTCCTGTACTTCAATCAGTGACAGCCCATATAATTGGTAAGTAGAGAAGTGCCCAGTTGTTGCCGAGCAGGTAGTGCTCTGGGATGTGGTTTGCCAGTCATCAATCCATGCAAATTTGGATGAGTAACTAGTTGCATAGTTGTGTGTGTCAAAGGGAGTTCTGGGCCTGGGTTTCCTGAACAGCAGCCACTTATACTGTATGGCAGACCTCTTTGGAACTGTGGGGAGCTGCATAAGTTTCAAATATGGTCTACCACACAAACAGGGAAAAAAAATCAGACATTGCAATTGGTCTGTGCAACTCTTTGGGGACACCTAAAGTAGTGCATATGATCCTGGCCTGGGTCTCTTTATGATCACCCAGGTACTTGGGTGATTTATTATGTTGAAGGATTTTATCTGCTAGTAATGCATTTCATGCTTCTACATTGCTGAGAAACTTAAATGGCACACTATCCCACATGGGAGGAAGCATTTTAGCCCAGGTGTTTCAATCGCAAATCTTGCTTTGTTGTCAGGCATTGTATCAGACACTGTAGAATCCATAGAGTAATGTTTTCTGTTAGGTTGTGGTGCCTTGCTTTTGCCTAATTTTTTTTTAAAGTGGGACAACTGAGGAGAACGCTATCATACTCTCAGGGCCTTTAGAGCTCCTAGGAACCAATCAGAATTGATAGCGCCTGATCAGACCATGACATGGATCCATAATGAAACTTAACTTGTCTGCACAAGAGAGCATTTTAATGCCAAATGGCTTCTCTCCCCACTTGTTGTTTTTTGGGAGAGAAACCTCAAATACTAGCAAACTTACCTAACCCAAATAAAGAAATTTGATTGGAAGTAAAACCTACTGGATAAATTTCATATGAATTCCTGGTGAATTTATGGGATGTTGCAATATTATTTTTCTGGTTAGCCTCGTAGATATTTCTGCTCTGACTATTTCTGCAAGTCAGTCAGTGAGCTGCTTAGACTGAAACGTCATAATGAAGAAAAGTTAAATATATTTGTGTCTGCATCAGTGATCTTTTGTTCCACCTAGGTGCTAGAAAATGAGATTCGTAGAGTGGAGTTTCTTTTACATCACAATAGCAAAAAGGAGCCATCCATATCACTGTAAATTCTGTGTGCATATTATTAATGGCAACTGTGTCTTTATCTGGAAGGTGACCCCTCATTACATGGTGATGTCTGGTCCTGGCTGGAGTTCACCCTCACCTCCATCTTCAGTGCCCTTTGGGTCCTCCCTCTTTTTGTGCTCAGTAAAGTTGTCAATGCCATCTGGTTTCAGGTAGGTGATCTTGTTGAGAAGATAGTGCTCCTTAATGCAGTGTTTAGCAACTGACAAATTTACATGAAATATATCATTTTGTTTGGTGGGGAGGAAAGATGCTCTAATGGTGCAGTTCCCTGAAAGATTATTCAGAAATTCCATTATAAATTCCACTATGTTGAGTGCTGCTTATTCACTATGTTCAGGATAGCAGCTTGAAGGTTTACCTATAGTGGTTTATTCATGCTCTACCCACCTCCCGCATAACTTTATACATATCCATGAATTGGCTTCTAAAGATTTTATGCTGTCCTTGTTTACACATCTTTTAATGCATAATTTGGGAAGATATCTGCAAAATCAGTAGTGTATAAAAAGCATGCATTTGTGATTATGCACAAATGTGTTGCAATTTGTATGACTGGATGTTAGGAGGGGAGCAAGCGTACTTCATTGTCCTAGAAAATGGAAGAAACAGGATCTGTTGTGTTGGGATGAAGACCTCTGTATGTAATGCATCCTTTTATTGCTCCCCATTTTGTGTTGCATTTTGAAAACTTTCTCCATTTGTTTTGTTTTTAAAGAGGATAAAGAATGACATTTTGAAAGTAAATTCAGCTGAATTCATGCATTACTGATTCCTGATTTACACAATATGATTTCTATCTTCAAATTTTTTTCTTTGCTAAAACTGTGTTGTGATTATTCTTAATCCTTTTTATTATGCCTATGCCTTGCCTTGGGGAATCAATTATTCTAAAATGTTTGTTTATATTTCAGGACATTGCTGACTTGGCATTTGAGGTGTCGGGAAGAAAACCACAGCCTTTTCCCAGTGTCAGTAAAATTATTGCTGACATGTTGTTTAACCTTTTACTGCAAGCTCTCTTTCTCATCCAGGTAAGAGCAAATGAAGCCTGGACAAATGCTCTGCAGACACAGAGGAGAATAATGGAACCCAAAGATCCTCAAGGCCTTGCATTTTTTTCATGAGAGAGAACTGTGCATTCAGCAGCCCTTTTCGGGCAAGTAACTTAAAGCAAAGAATCCTGCAAAGATACGTTTGCAGATGATTTGAAGGACTGAATGAAGTGCCCCTTCACTGCCCACCAAAAATAACCAGGACATTCTAGCTAGCAATTCTTTTTCAATTAGAAATATAATTATATGAGCCAGACAGTGAACATGAGCAAAATAAAAAGACAACTTCTGTAGTGTCACCCTAAGAAGAGTGCAAGTTCCAACTATGTATAAAAGGTAATAACAGTACAGTTAGAGCAGTGTGTTCTGGAGTGAGATGAATCCTGAATACCAAACCAAATGGGGCTGATTTGGAAAGATTCAGGAAATGTTTGAATGGAAGTGGGGCACCAAATCTAAACAGACCAAATCTAAATATTCTGAAACTTTGTTAGCAGTTTAGATTGAAAGGTTCAGAGAGGCAGTGATCTGTTTTGTGCATAATGCTAACCCACATGAGATGTTGAATTAAGAGTATACAAACCCAGCCATGCTAGCAAACCATGGTTTTTAACTACAGACAACCCCAAAAGAGAACCCATGGGTGGTTGTTGGTTGTGAACTCTGGGTAGTTTAAACCATAGGTTTCATTATGTCTGAACTTAGAACTGGGGATTGTTACTTGTTTTGCCAAGCTTCAGTGGCAGCAGGCAAGAGTGGTAAACATACTAAGTTCCTTTATATACTGATACGTCAATGCTGCGAAGGCTTGTGAGATTCAGAGAGGAAGCAGGTAAAGGAGGAGTGAAGTAAAGAACCTAGGACTTGATAAAGCATTGTTTGTACAGCCATCTTCCAGACAAACCCTGTTTTGGGCAGCAAACCGTAGGTGAAGTTGTATGTAGCATAAAGGTGATTATTATAATTGAACCAGTTCTTTGTGCCTGCGAAGACTGAGGTATTTTTTCCCAGGCGCTCTGTATTAAGAACGTGCCTGGGTGGAGAACGAGAAGTGGGTAGTTTTGTGGTTGACAGCTTTAGCTTCTAAAAAGGTTGGTAGCTTTGTCTGTACATTGTGATCTCGGTGCTTTGGGGCAGTGATGTTGAAGTAATATATCATGGCACTATATCAGTGTTTGGTACTCTTTGCTAGTGGGAAGGTTAACCAAGGAGTTTTTGTTGAGGCTGTTGGACCCCAGGGGGTTCTTGCATTGGGTGCTCACCTGGATGCTCCACTCCTGTCTCTCCCACTTTGTGTGCCATTTGTGTAAATGATCTTTGCCTGATTGCATGACATTAAAATGCCTTAAACTGGTTTTCATTCATCATAGCTTCCCGGGCCATTTAGTCTGACCCCCACTCTGAAGTGAAGTCTGACTTTAACCCCTGGAGCAATCCATTTTCGCATGTTTCGCTCTTGATTTCACCTCTATTATGTATGCCATATTCATCTACATTGCCAAAATAAAAATAAAAAGTATGGTGAGGAGAAAGGAAATCTTCCCCCATTTGAGCATTCCCTTTTGCACTAAAGTTACTGCACTTACCATACTAAAATATTGCAAGTTTATTCACTAGGTCCATGTGCTATAAGAATCTTTTTTGTGAGGTTATGGGACAAACTGTAAATGCTTCTACTGAACCGATTGGGATACCTGAGCAGCTGGCAGCATTTCTCTAAAGCTTGAACAGATGTGACTCAGAACCTTTTGCCTTACAGTGATGGTGTGATCGAACTCCAGCAGTGCACAGATAATGGGGGTGGCTGGAAGGAGATAAATGGATAACTAGCTAAACATCTTTTCATTTGTTTACATGGGTGGAGCTGGGGATCAGACTAAATGGCCCAGGGAAGCCCCTTCTGATTCGTTTTGTTCGTTTGTTTCTATGTTTTGGGGCTGTTGATAGCGGTTAAGTGATTGTGCCTTCTCTGTGAGTTGAAAGAATCTACTTTTGCAGAGGAAAAATGACGACTTAACTTGATTCCTTCCACAGGGAATGATTGTGAGTCTGTTTCCCATTGATATCATTGGCCAATTGGTTAGCCTGCTTCATATGTCACTGCTCTACTCACTGTACTGTTTTGAGTACCGTTGGTTTAACAAAGGTTAGTGCTTCTCTTTACTTTCATGTGGGTTTCACATATATTTTAGTATTTGTGTTGAGGAAAACACCATAGCATATTATGTGAACCGAACTATAGGAATCTTCATGAAACTACATGTTCTGCAGGCTCCTTTCTAGAGTGCATACATATTCTGTAGTTGTAAACTGCTGTGATCTGTGTTACATAGTTGTGTATAGGCTCTTTGAAGAGCTTCCAGTTCTTTGACTTTTGGATGTTGCAGAGTTCTAGGAATGTGGGACAATACTGCCATGCTTCTGCTGTTATTATTTTAATGCTTCAATCTTCTGTCCTTTCAGGAATTGAAATGCATCAACGGTTATCCAACATTGAAAGGAACTGGCCCTATTACTTTGGATTTGGATTACCACTGGCCTTCCTCACTGCAATGCAGTCATCTTACATTATCAGGTGATTTATTAAGAAACAGGAGACATTCTTTCTTATTTTTGTACTAGAGCAACAAGCAAACATAAAGCCTTTGAGTAACTAGAATGGACAAGAGGTAATTGCGGGGAGAAAAGGAGGGTGTGTGGCTAATGGAAAAGGAATTGCACAGACTGTAGGAAAATACGGGGGGGAGAGAAAAGAGAAGCGGGAAGCAACTCATAAAGGCAAGATTTGTTTTCCCTTGCACGTGGGGTCCTCTCTCTAAAACCTTATGCCCTGTTTTCCAGATAGATTCTACCTGTTCATTAGCTAGTTAAGGGATGGTGGTGAGGAATGAAGTGTTCTCATGAAAAAATATTTCAAGCTGAGCCCTGTGGTTTTTCACAGGAAGGTGACTTGCAGTCAGCCTGTGCCTGGGACCAAGATTATCTCAGCAAAGCTGTGAGAGCGCTGTTCCCCAGAGTGACATGCAACCCTCTGCTGTTCTGTTGAACCTGCCCTTTGCATCAGTGGTTTGAGCAATAGCAGCACAGAGGGCTGGTCATTCACCTGGGAAAGAACAATGGCTCTAGAATCTAGATCTTCCAAGGCTTTGCTTTCATGCAGTGGATTGCAGGGCAAGCAAATAAAGGATTATGGTAGGTTCCCTGCAAATGAGGTGCATTGTGCTTGATGATAAATTAGGCAGCTTATTCTGCCCAGCTAGTAGGAAAGTGGATGAGAAAAGGCCTGGGTTTGTTCAGCACAGCTAGCCTAGCTGCCTTACTGTTTCAGCTTCGTGGCACCTGCCTACAGTGTTTTAGCAGCACTGGCTACCCTCCAGCCACCACCATAGCAAACAGCAGTTTCCCAGTGGGCACAAATAATTAATTATTGTTTGGGGTAGGAGAGTGTCTAAATTATTTCCCCAAATTGGTGTTTAAGTTATTGTGCGGGTGGTTTGGGGAGGAGCATGTTCCTTGGGTAATTTTATCATTGGACTTGTCTTATTTAAAAGGTCTGCAGGAAAAGCATGAAATCTCTGTAGTCTCTGATGCTTTCAAATTTAGAGAGCCAGTGTGACATGCAGGTTAGGATGCTGGTCTGGTGACCCAGCAGTTTGGGTTCTAGTTCACACTCAGCTCACTCACCTGGTGACTTTGGGCCAGTCAGTCACTCCCAGCCTAACCCATCTGACCTGCATAAGCCACCTCATAAGGTTACTCACAAGGAAAAAGGTGGGATAGAAATGCAGTGTGGTGGTGGCAGTGGCGATGAAGATGATAAAAAACTTGTTTGATAGGAGTTTGTTCTGAATCTGCAATAGCAGTTAGCTTGCCTCTGCTGGCCATTTACAAAACATGGAAATAGGCCTTTTTATTTAGGTCTGCACAGAGACGCAGAGCCGTAGTTGTGTCAGATGTTGTTTCCTGAGGTAATTAGAGCCTGTTGAATAGAAATAATCTCCCAGTAAGTACTGTTTGAATGCTTACATCTTTATTTCTTTTCAGTGGCTGCCTGTTCTCCATTCTTTTTCCTCTGTTTATCATCAGCGCCAATGAAGCAAAGTCACCAGGGAAAGCATAGTATGTATATCTCCCTTGCAAAACATGTGTAGAACTGGTTCTTCCAGTTTTGTTGATTGATATGTACGTGATGCTGAAGTGAACTGACCTAGACAACTTTCAAATCCCTAAAAACTGATTCTGAATATTTCTAATGAGCTTGAAGTACACGGAGTATGCTTGCTCTTTGATCTAGAAAACAGAGTCTTGACTAGAGAGAGCAAAATAAGTATTTAGGGCTGCTCAGAGTAAGAATTCCAACATTCAGAGCAATCCTATGGCTTCTAGACAGTGTATAGGGGTGCCAAGAACTGTTTGGATTCCCAGCTCTGAGGATGAAACATTGTTCTGACCTTGGCACGAAGGGATACACCCTTGGCTCTCACTGCCTCACAGTGTCTCCAAAGTCACAAAAGCAAGCTTGGAGAAGAGGTTTAGTGGGTACTCCATGGAACAGGGAGAGGAGAAGACCAGTGCCACTGAAAGATGATGCATTCTGGTTGGCACCTTAGCCTCCTTTCTTCCACAGAGCTCTCTAGTTTGATAGCTGAAATGAGGACAGGAGGTGTGTGGATGCAGCCTTTACCTTTGTGCTCCTTCACCTTGCATAAGATGCCTGTAATCTTTGGCGTTTGGGGCATTAGGGGCACGGGAGTATACTTTCAGATCATTTATGTGGAACAGAGGGAACATTTTGTGTAATGGTAGCAATAGAAGGCAATTTGGCTTCCAGAAATAGCATCACTTTATGGAAAAAGAACCCATACCTCAGTAAAGTACATTAGTTTCAGTGTGGCTGTAGAAAAGCAAAAAGAATATGCCTATGTGGAAAATTTCTAGGCCTAGCAGTAGCTTCTGTTAGAGCAGGGGCGGGGAACCAGGGGCCTTCCAGATGCTCTTGGATTCTGTCATCTTTTGTCAGTGCCCAAGCTGGCTGGGGCAAATGGAGTGGGGTTCAAACAGCATCTAGCAGGTCACAGGTTTCCCTTAAGAGAAAAGTGTAAGAATTGCTCTGTGTTTGCATTAGGTGGTATAAGGTAGGATTTTTGCAGTGAAGGTCAAAGCACCTACTGCAACCGGAGCAGAAGCCTTTGAACAGAAGCTAATAGTCATTTCCTTGTGTTATAGCCACTTCCAGTTGCGTCTCTTTTCCTTGGTGGTCTTCCTTAGCAACAAACTCTTTCACAAGACAGTTTACCTTCAGTCTACCCTGAGCAGCTCCTCTTCAGCCGACCGACTGCCCTCACCTCACTCATCACCTGCCAGGCAAAAGGCTGCTTTGGTGCACTGAATCACAGCCAGAGCAGAGAGGAAGGAAGAGCACTGCCCCATGCTTTGTACTCATGCTCCTGTGATCCAGAGAAGGGCACCGAGCATTCTGCCAAGGGGGCTTACGTGTCCTCCCATCTGATCACTGTTTGAAGCTGTCATTGGACAATAGTTTTGCATCGCACTACGTGTGTGGAGAAAAATATTTGGTGGGCGGGGGAAGCAGAGCAATGGAGCCTGAGTTTTTAACATCTTCGTGAGTTTTTCAAAAGCCAGGTTCTTTGCTTGTTTTTATAACGTGTCTCAGACCTGTGCCTGTACTGTTTTTTGTATACTCCCCTGACTCTTCCCTGTGCCATTTCTCCCTCCCGTTCCCAGGATGAATGGTTTTTGTAATGCGTATTTTGTTGTAGCTTCAATGGGGGTCTTTACAGTGAACTGCACCGCAACTGTTGGGTTTTCTCAATGATCATAATCCTTTGTATATTGTATAACTCAGGTCAGGATTTTGTAATCCCTACTGTGCTGAAATAAGAAGTGGATCATGGTGGTTCTAGCCGCAAGATGAGGGTGGGAGGGCTCCCCGGTTCTTGTTCCGGGGTGACATCCATACAGTTCTTGCTGTTTAGAGACATGTTTTGGTGGCATCGCCTCTGAAGGACCTGAACATGTACCACTTTAAAAGTTTTTATGCTTGAAGGGATCAGCTTTTGATGGATGAAACAATTTCCTAACCTTAGCAGCAGAATGTATACATTTTTTTAAAAGAAATAAAACTCTACATCCTTGGAGCTTTTTCAGAAGCTCCTTCTGAATTGTCAAAGGGAAATCTGAAAAGTGTACGGGTAAGGTCAGGCACTGTAATGAAAACATGTGAAATCTGTGTCTGGGGCTGTAAGATCTGCAATATAATGTTTGGGACCTGGAGCAGGCAGATTCTAAACATTAGTGTCTTCAGAAATTCTGATGGCATTTGAGGAAAGGCATAGATGTAATGAAATTCTCATTGGCTGTCAGTGGAAAAACCAAGGGAAAGCCTTTACAGAGCTTCAGAGAGGCCGTTGTTTCGCTGAGATTAGGTAGGCTGGCTATGCCTTGTAGTGAAAAGACTGTTCAAGCCAGAGTTAAGAGGCCTCCCGCTCAGACGGTGACGTGCTGCCCGACTCACAGTTGTTGTGCCAGCCAAGTTAGAATGATGTGCACCCAAGTGCTCCTGCGTGGTTGTAGCAGCAGCTGAAACCGTGCAGTCAGCTGGGGATGTGTGATCTCTGTGTGTATGTGTGTACACATATGTAACTGTATGCACAACGGGAGTGCAATCCTGACATTAGGCAGTGTTCTTCATGCATGTCAAACATCTGTAGGACCGAAAACTATGAAATTCAGAAAAAGCCCTTTGGTTTTTGCAGAACTGAGGTCAGTCTACAGATAATCCTTTTCTCTAGTATTTTCACACTGAAATATTAAATGAAGGTGGAAAAACAAACCAACCTAGCAATTTCTTGAAGTGAATATGTGACTTTGAATCTGATTTCATCTCAAGGTTGGGAGTGGGGGGGACTTTACCAGTTGAATTCAATGTGGTGAATTCATGCCATAATTCCAGTTCAAATCTTCCTGTGCTCATGAAGCTAAAGCCAAATGCCACTGCAGCACAGCCTAGGTGTGCGCACACACAAGGGGTAGTCCTTAAGTTTGCAGATATCTGTCTTCAGGAAAAAAGTTAATGGATGAAATCCCAAACAGACCCGTCATGCCTGCAGGATGTGGAACTGAATGGCAAACACATAATGGTAATTCCTGGGTGATCCAGTTCCAGAATTGTTGAGTTGGGAGTGAATGTGCTGCTCTTTCTGGATGATGGCAATCTCTGCACTTGCGCTGTTCATGGGTTACACCACCCAGAGCAAACCAGTCAATGGGCCACGGACAATTGTTGGGTTAACTCTGGATTGTTTAAATCCTAAATGGAGTTTCTGGGTTTAGGTATTATAACCCAGAAAGTAATGAGGCCGTGTTCTTGCTCATTCCCACTCAGCTATGGGGAATTGCTGGCATGTGCAATCCAGGTTGGAGCAGAAATAGAATAAGCAGAAAAGGGAAGAGTGGACACCATCTCAGTGTTCGGATGGGTAACATCCAGGCTCCTATTCAGAAGGTATTTTAAAATGTGCCCAGGGATGGCAGAGGGCTGCCCACAGACACGAATGGAGAAATCTGAAGATTTTAATGCAGCCAGAACTGGCCAAAAGTGGGTGGGCCCCAGCCACTAAAAAAGAAAAAGGGGCCTGGATGAGTATGTATGCTCAGTGGACACAAAAATGGGCAGGAAAAGGGGGGAAGGGAATGCACTGCAGCATTTCGTGGCCCCTCCTATATATGGAAGCAATGGCCATTCTGAGCATTAGTGCTTATATATCAGATCCACTTAGAAGATGGCAGTATTGGCAAGCTTAGGAAAACTAAGGGCACAGAAGTGAACAAGGCTTTTAAGAAAGGGGAAAAGGCATTGCTGGGAGTGGGGAGGAGACTGTTGTGGACTGACAATGGAATGCTAACCACTGAAGAGGGAATAAATGTAAACTGGGGCAAGGGAATGCGGTGGGGTTTCCTGGAAGAGAATAGGATGGCAGCCAGGCTGTCAATAAGAGCACTCCATATTGCAGGCGTGTGTTACAAGGCTTTAAAAATGGCTCTCTCAAAATACTCCATACTGGCTGCTTCTGTAAGAAAAAATGGCTGCAGCCCTAAGTGCCTTTGGTTGGAGATAAACTTTGGATGAATCTTGTGGAACCTATATTGGAGTCAACATGGCTAGTTTTAAGATAAACCAAAAAGGGATCTTAATCAGTTCCCTGATGCTTTAGAAAACTGGCTTTCTAAGAGCCAAACTAATGTAAGCATTCAGTTTGACTGGGTTATTTATTTATTACTTATTACATTTATATACCACCACAAGAGCCCAGAGGACTCTCTGGATGGTTTACAGACAATAAAACTGCAAATACAATATCCAGTCCTATACAAATAAACTGGCTACAACATGACTGAGTATAAAATGACACCGTTAAAATGAATTAAATGAATAAATATACAATTAAAATTAATTAACTTTAGAATATTGGTCAAATAAAAAGGTCTTGACTTGGCGCTGAAAAGCATATAATGACGGCGCCAGGCGGACCTTTCTAGGGAGCACATTCCATAGTCGGTTATGAACAGGAGCTTTGCACTCATTTTTCTAGTCTCCAGCAAGGTAGATAGGGGGCTAGAGCAGAAAGTTCTAGCTTCCATCCCTGGCATCTCCAAATATGGTTAGAAGGTCTTGCCTGAACTCTAGGGAGCTATTGCTGCCAGTCATGCTACTCTTTAATTTATTCCATTTATACCCTGCCTTTTTTCCCTTTTATTAATGTCAGAGTGAAGGATTTAAAAAGTTTATTCTCTAGAATAATTGGCTGCCAATGAATAATTCCAGTATGGTGTACACCGAGCGATCCTCAGTTTTTTTCTTTATCAAAGATATGCAAAATCTGCCACAGTTATAATTTTTTTCATTGTTGGCATTAAAAGTTCAGTAGTCATGATTTTTGTTTTTTTTAATGTTCAGCTTTGCACTTTGGTTTTGCACTTTCTTCTTTTACTTCAGCAGGGGCCATTTCAATTAATTGCAGCCTTCTGCCAATAAGATGATAACAGCCACATATCTAAAATTATTAATGTACTAATTTGGCCAATTTTCACCTCTTCATCTGATCCTAGTCCAGCTTTCTGCATCCAAGGGGATAAAATAAACCCTTGTCTGATACCTTTGCCTATAGATTCTATTATACATGCAGGTTTAAGATTTGTAAGTCAGCTAGGGAACCCTTGTATGGGGCAGCGTAAAAGTAATACAGGAAACTATTTAGTTCTTCCATTCAGCCTTAGCAGTAAGCTTCTGGTCCAATATGCGTCAGGATGATCAAGTGCTGAGGCAGACCACATCTTTCAGGGCCATCCACAGCCTCTTGGTCCATACAGTCGAAGGCTTTGCTCTAGTCTAAAGCAGCGAACGAATTTTTTTGCTGCACTCCAGTAGCCAGCGTATATTTACAATGCGATCCTAATTAAAATACAGCACAGTAACACATCAACCTTTCAAAAGTTGAGAGCCACTGTACAGAGGCCACCATCCGGATGCCTGCCCTCCGTCTTCCAAGCCAGGCAGGCCCGTACGCAGGCAGCGCGGGCCCCGATCCGCTTCCCCTGCACGGCCCTCCCCCAGCACTCGCGCCCGCGGATCGCCGGCCCGCTGCCCATTCACAGCCTTTGCCCCTCCGGCCCGTACCCTGCCATGTGACCACGCCTGGCCACGCCCCGCTCGAAACCAGACTGCCCCCGCCGTCCAAGAGCGACACGTCACTGCTCATGTCTCAACCAAGCTTTCCACTTCTCTCCAGGACAACCATCCCAGGCGGCGCACTTTCCCACCAATCGGAAGCGGAGATGGCCGAGCGCATCTCTCAAACTTCCTCTTTGCTGACAGACATTGCCCTAGCCCTGTAGTTTCTCCCGTAAGGCGGGCTCTCGAACGTGATAGATACACATTTTCACCAATCGTGTCTCTAGACTCGGGCCCGGGCAGGCGGGCTGGTGATGCTGCAGGGAGTGGGTGCGCGTGGAGCGGATGGCTGAGGGAGCGGGACGGAGAGCGGTTCTTGAGTCCCAGGTGAGGGACGCGTCCCCCGCTGGAGGGTGTCGGCGCCACCGCAGGGCGTCTGGGCGGCGGCCGTTTCAAGCGCGAATGGCGCCTTCCGAGGGGAAAGAGGCCTGGCCTGAGGGCTGGGGCGACGGCGGTGGCTCCGGGAAGGCTGCTGGCGGAGGTGGCTTTCCCGTGCGATTGTCCTGCGGGTGACCCACGAAACAAAACGAGGGCGGGGTGGGGCGCTGGCTGTGGAGGCGGCAGAACGGACGGTGCGCTTCATCCTCCGGTGGCGGGCGATGCCATTTCCGAGCGCTTCATCACTCCCTAGAGCACGTATTCTTTGCAGGGAGAAAACGAGCACGCGGGGAGAGGGTAGCCTGTGACTTCTTTCCCTGATGTGCTAGCCTTCTGCTTGCTTGCAGGGAACTGGGCGGCTGGATGGGGGGGTAAAATAAGAGCGACGGATCGAAACTCTCGCGCACAGCTTCCCTGCAAGGCGAATTAGAATATTCCAGGGAAAAAGGTTCCTCCGTATTGTGCTAGCCTTTTAAGTGCAGTGATTTCTTTAAAAGCGATGCCCAACCTGGGGCACTCCATATGTTTGGGCTTCAACTCCCATCAGCCTCAGCCAGCATGGTTACTACTAGGCATGCTGGGGGTTTTAGTTCAAATGCTGGAAAGCAGCCGGTTGGGGAAGGGTGAGATAAAGGGAACTTTAAAACGTGATTTCTGTGCCTGCTAGAAATCTCACCTGGTGCTACTGTTCTAGTGACAAATTTTCAGTTTGGTCCAGGCGTTCACCCAGAGAAAGCACAGTTTAGAATTTATGAAACACCACTTTTTTGGTTTGCATCTGCTTTTCTTGCTAGGATTTTATTACTAGTTGAACTTGCCTTTTTCAGCATGAAAAAAAATAAGATCAACTCCCTAGAATTGCCAGTTAAAGTCTTGCAACAGAACTGGTGAAAAATCCATCTACTGAAGGGCTTTGGAGAATCCATGCCAGGCAGTATTGAACAAGATGCACAGTTGGCTCCATGTCAAGCAGTTTCCTTTTCACATCCCAGTACTCTGTTTCTGTGAAGAGCTCTCTCTTCCTGTTCACCACATTTGTTTTATATTGCCTCGTGCAAATATCTCCTTGACCTACAGAACACTTTCTTTCACACATTAGAAATTATTTGCAGAAAAATGCAAGGTATATGTGCCTGTGTGCAAATTGGTATATAGACTGTATTGCTTCTTGGATAGTGCATTTAGCCGTACTTTCTCATGCCCATAACCAGCAAAAAATGAATCCAGGCCCTTGTTACATGTACCATTCCACCCGCCCCCACTCCACACACACACATGGCTTCATATAAAAGCTTTGTGTAATTCTTTTAAATCCATACAAGCTTATCTCTGGATATACAAAATCACATTAAATAATCAGCAGTAACGTCAAGGAGGCACGGAAAACATTTCTTCTCTCCTTCTCTCAATGTTACACATTTTTTTGTGCCAGTCACCATTTATTCTTATACTCTCTGGGGATTTAATTGAACTTTATATAGTCCCATGCCATAATTAGGCATATTCTGTTGCTATTGACCAGGCTTCTATAGAGAAAAGATCTCATCTCTAGAGCCTGATGGGATGAAATATTTGCATAGAGCCTTGTTGTCATGCTTAGGGCTGGTTGGAGTGGGTGCCTGTTTGATTTGGGCAGTAGACCCCAGGCTGCCCAGCGTCTACTAATCTGTCCATGATGTGTGAAAATACCAGTCTAGTGGTGCTAAAAAGCCTGGTTTCCTTGG